AGTTTGAGAAGTTGAATAGTACTTGCATGATTAAAAAAAAAGGAAAAAAAAAGAAAAGAAAAAAAAAGGGACTACATTGTGAGCGGGTGAACGAGATTTTGCATGACATTGCTGACTCAGCATCTGAACGGGAGCGGGTTCATTACAGAATCACTGACTGACTAATAATTTAATAAATAATAAAATAATAAATACTTCTGAAAAAAAAAAGACGTTTAAAAAACCTCAGCCTCTGGAGGTATGTACATGAATATCGCCTCAGCCTCTGGGGGTATGTACGTAAATAGCCCACCCAGATTTGAACGTGTCAAAAGTAGTCCTGACAGAGTGGTGGATTTAGCTGCACCTGGACTTCTTTTAGGCCCAGGTGCATTCTGACAGCACCAGTGTTGTCATTTCCAGGTTAGACGGGCCATTTGTGTCCTTAGCCGCAAGGTAGTTGGATATGCTCTTACGTTCTTGAGAACGCCTCTACTATGTAACATTATGTTACATCAATTGGACAATACATCTATGAGACCCTAAAGGAGCAATACGACAAGCACGAAGTGGCAGATGCGAACTTAAACGGGCCATTTGTGTCCTAAACGGGCCATTTGTGTCCTTAACGCCAAGTTAAACGGGCCATTTGTGTCCTTAACCGCAAGTAAAACAGGCCATTTGTGTCCCAAACGAGCCATTTGTGTCCTTAACCGCAAGTTAAACAGGCCATTTGTGTCCCAAACGGGGCATTTGTGTCATTAACCGCAAGTTAAACAGGCCATTTGTGTCCCAAACGGGCCATTTGGAACGGGCCATTTCTGTCCTTAACGTTAAGTTAAACGGGCCATTTGTAACCGTACTGTTGCTCCCCAGAATGGCAGGAGCCAGAACCGAGAGGTTCTGACAAAAAAAAAAAAAGAGCCATTTGTGTCCTTAACTGCCACGTTAAATGGGCTATTTGTGTGCTTAACCGCAAGTTAAAACGGGCCATTTGTGTTGCTTAACTGCAAGTTAAACGGGCCATTGCAGTCTATAGCTGCTAATAACATGGTCTATGGGTCTCGCCACGCAGGAAGGAAAATGAAATACGAAATCAATTCTTTTTAAAAAAAAATTTTCGCGAGGACTTGCGAAGTTGTGAGGATGCCAATTGTTTTGTTTTGTTTTGTTTGTCTCCCCGTCTTTTGCTGCTTCGCCCCACGGTGCACGCAACTTGCTGTGTGACGAGTCCTCTGCCCTGCACTCGTGAACCTGGAGAAGCAAAAGAAAACACAATTGCAGATCCCGACACTCTTGCAATTGCAACTCCCGACACTCTTGGAATTGCAGCTCCCGACACTCTTGGACACACCTGCCAGACTCGCGTGACACCTGCCAGAGGACTCGTGTGACACCTGCCAGACTCGCGTGACACCTGCCGGAGGACTCGTGTGACACCTGCCTGTTTTACAATTGCTATATCATTTTCAATATTGAACAGTCAATTGTTTGACTATAGTAGTAGGGAGTCCAGTTTTTACTCTTTTTTTTTTTTTTTTTTTTTTAATTTGGACCATTTCTTGATTCATGTGTGTCATCCTTGCGCAGGGGCCATGCCAATCTTCTCTGTATCGTTCCAATTTTAACGCATGTCCCGAAGGACAGTTTTTACTCTTATGTGTGGTATTCATTCTTGTTTGACTCTTGGATTGAGATCTACATGCCAGAGGACTCGTGTGACACCTGCCAGACTCGTGTGACACCTGCCAGACGCGCGTGACACCTGCCAGACGGGTGTGAACTGGTGGGCAGTTCGTGGGGTTGTTACGAGACCCAGGACAATGGAGGTGCTGCAGCCGGGCAGTGTGCGGGTGCTCAAGGGCCACAGTCTATAGCTGCTATGGTTCATGTGTAGGTCCTGCTTTTTTTTTTTTTTTTTTTTTTTTTTGAAGTATCCACGTCACTTGTGCTGTTTGTAGGTCCTGCGGTCTATTTATCGTGTTGTTCTTTTCGTGTTGTTTTTTTTTTCTTTCTAATTTAAGATGTAGTATAGTAAATTAATTTAATCCTTAATTCCAAAAAAAGACCTGCCGGGTTCGTCGTCTATTGTCTTTACCGTCCGGTCAAGAAAACGGGGGATGCATAGTACGCCTGGAATGATGCCGAATCGGGATAATTTTCAGGTCAGATACAGACATGTAATGACTGCATGTTCTACGTCTGGGACAAGAGGGTTACTTCTCCACATTCCCCGGCACACACCCGCTCCACTTCTATCATGTACGATCGAGTGACCTGGTACGCTGAATTGAGGACCTCGACTCTCTGATCGAGTGACCTGACTAGACAGGGGTCATGGGCCCCAGGGCGGACTTGGAAACCCCCCTTTCACCTCTGGTTGAAGCACAAGCCTCGCGTATAGAGAAAATAGCTGCATGAGCAAAAGCACCTACCGTTATAAAACCAGCAATATGCTGATAACGAGTATACAAAGCCGGCAGCACAAGCCTCGCGTATAAAGAAAATAGCTGCATGAGCAAAGCACCTACCATTATAAAACCAGCAATATTCTGAAATAAGGTCAGAGATTGCTCGTCTGACATGGCAATGAGTTTACCACTTTCATTGGCGAACAACCGAACCCTTGGAACCTCGACCTTCCACCATTACTGATGGGGTAAGACTTAACGAGCATACAAAGCCAGCTTGAGTAGTAAAAATCTTGTGCAAAAAAAATAAAATAAATAAATAAATAAATAAATCTTGTGCAATAAAAGCATATGTGCTGGTAATTAATACATATGTTTTTTTTTTGTGCGAGTTACGAAGGACGTGATCAGTCTCTAATTTCCTAAATAAGCCAATGTATCAAGTCCTAATTGAAAATGAACTTAATGAAGAGAATTATTTACGGTGTCATATAAGCCATTATGACTCGTTGCACGG